ACTACACACACACACACACACACACACATATATATATATATATAGTAAAATAATCTCCAATGTCAGTCTATAAAGAAAAAAAGTTTTACCAAATGTAAGAAACGTCAACCTAAAAATCACTAATGACAATATTCGTTCAACGTCTGCGTGCCACTACTAGTAACGGCTTTTAGTGTTGTAATGTCTACTTATCTTATGTATTATAACAATCTATAAACAGAAGAAGTGGCGTCTGTGTGTTCCCACTTTAACCGATCCTAACCACACTAAACTACCCTAGGGAGTGACACAGGAGGGTCGGTATGTGGATGTGACCCCCTTTGTGTCATCCTAGGGCTTCTACGTGTTCCACATGATATTCTATTGATATGTACTTAACTTCAAAGACACCTTCAGGGCAGCTCGAAAGAGACATTATTGGTTTGGTATTTGAATTTGACCCCCTTATGTTACTCCTGGTGCCCCATGTGTTCCTCGCGTTATCTTATTGAACTTTACCAAACTTCAAATATACCCCTAGGGCATCATTTGGGAATGTTATTGGGGCTACCATTCTGATCTGACTTTCAATGTCACTCATCAGAGCCCCCTGTCTGTGTGTTGCTTGTGTGTAATCCTTTCTCGAGAAGTGTTGTAAGGGTCAGCATTCGGATTTCATCATTCTAAATAATTTCCCGGGACCCCGTATGTTCCCCGTGTTATTCTGTTGATTTCTAACAAACATCAAAGGTGTCTTTAGGGCAACTCGGGAAGTGACATGGGATGAAGGTCAGCGTTGAGATCTTATGCTTCTATGTCACTCCCCAGGGGATTCTTATGTCTGCACCTTACATTGAACGGTTACGTCAAGTAGTCTGAACTAATTTAAACTGATGCAATAACATCTTAAGGTACAACTATAACATATATGATAGTTAAGGCAAAATAATCGGGACTATTGGTTTCTAATGATTTGTGAGCTTTCAAACCACAAATAATATTATGTTAACATGACAGTAGCGGTCAGCACTATGTGCCTATTATCCTATTTTCTTCAAAATTATTGTGTTTTTCAGAGTTCTTAGTTTGAATGCAAAGATATACTCAAGTAACACTTTCCATGTTTTCAGGGCATACAAAATATTAGTTCACTAATTGGCAATTAGTCACTTTCTTGCAGAGAAGATAGAACGTAACGTCCAGAAATTGGTTACTATCTTTCCTGTCTGTGAATTGGAGTCAGTTGCAGTCACACCCTATAGCTCAACACCAAGTGGACACATATCTTGGATGTGAGGTGCATTTTATATACAAGGTTGTCTTTGTTGTGTATTTAGTATTGGTATATACAGTCAGGTTTGTCTCTGTAAAAACAACTTGGAGAATCCTTTTGTTAACTTTTAAAACCTAGCTAACTAGTGTAACTCTTACAGCTTGAACATTTAGAACTTTAACAGAATGTTGTCACATGTTTAGCTTTTGTAAATTTTATAAAAGTAACTTAACATAGTTGTTGACTTAACCCTTTCTAAAATCCAAGATAACCTGAATTTTATTTTGTTTAACCCTAACTGTGCGGGTTTCATATTTATGACTTTAGTTGAATTTACAGGGACACACATTAAGTTTATAATAACTTTTAAATAAAGAGTATAGTTTCACATTACTCTCATGATTTTGACATACACCATTGAACACTTGTCTCTTTCTTGTTAACGTGTCCTTGTTTTTGGGTGTATTCCAGTATTATACGAATCTCTAGTTAGCAGGTCTAACTGCCTGCTCTGCAATTCGCACAGGAAATTCCACACAGGCACGCCTTATAGGCTATACGGTATACTACTCTTTTTCTGTAAAAAAGCTTTACGTAAGAATTGTTATTTTTCTTTTAATTTATGGTAAAAAAGTTTCATTTTTATGCTGTTATCACGAATATTCCTAGAATGTTAGCTTTAAAATTGTAATAAAATGAAAACAAATACTTACTGTAATACTACAAAAACCAAGTTCACGTCTGATACAAATCGTTTGACTCAAACCACTGAGGTAATGTTGTCCTAGCGGTTGAGGAACATAATTAAAACTTTTGATAACGTTTGTTGATCCCGTGTAGTACTGTAAACAACCGATAGGAGCTACAAATAATAAAAACGACACTTAAAATATTCGCTAGAAAATATTACCTTCAATATTTTAGATTTTACCATGAGCTAATTTAAAGATTCTGTGTATGGTATGGTATGTTAGATTATCTATATATTTTAGTTTTTATTTCTGATTTATGTAGGAAGCTTACTTTGAGCAGAATTTAGTAATTAGTAGAGTTACAGAGAAATACTTTTCATTATTCATAACAAAATATTTCAACAAATAATATATTGATCGATAAATCATAGGTATTAAGAGTGATCAATATTTTCTAATCTATATCAAGCTGCTTTTACTATCCTCTTTTAAAAAAATCAGAACATTTACACCTTAATATAGGGTGAAGGAAAATGTTAGCCACGAATTTTGATAATATAATTACGTATTAAATTGAAAATCTAAAGATTAACTTTAAATATAATAAATGGTTTTTGGATGACTAATAATATTGATGTTATATTTTTGTAATAATTTATCAGGACTCGACAGCTGTTAGTTAAAGCAGATGAAATGGTGTAGTGACTTTTTATTATTTTTTTTTAAGTTTGCAATGCTGACTGAAGAATGGAAGCCATTTTCAAGGAAGATGAGAAACAACTTCAGATAAATGTTTTCTTTATTCTTCCCGACGTTTTGGCTTACGCCTTATCAAAGACCTTCGAAAAAGCCGCAAGTCGAAATGCTGGGTAGAATAATAATAATTATTATTAAAAAAAAAGGTATATGTGAAATTGTTTATTGTCTTCCATGAAAATGATCTAACATTTCTAAGAATGAAAAACGTCTGTGGTACAATAATATCTTATCATATCTATATTGTTATATGTGAGCAGTATAGGACAAAATCGATGTAAGTTCATATAGATATAAGAGCAATGTCTGTTGTATGCCCATGTAACTACTTCGCAGGGTTTAGATGAATCTTCACCAAAATTAGCGTGGAGGCTCATTAGGCCCATGCAGGGATACATACAATTTTTCAGTTTTACATATTGCGTTTTGCGATTTTTATGGGCGTTTTTGCATTTTTTACCACTACTTCACCTCCTGTGGATGGATCTCCACCAAATTAGGTATGGAGATTCATTGGGTCCATTTTCAGTTTTGCATTTTGCAGTTTTTATGGACGTTTGTGTTTTTTTTACCACTCGTTCGCCCCCCTGTTGATGGATCTTCATCAAATTTGACATGAAGGTTTGTTGAATCCATGCGAAGATACATGCAAATTTGCTGTTTACATTTTATGTTTTTCAATTTGTATGGGAATTTTTACAATTACATATAAGGGAAGCAACTTTTCATTTCCTAAGATAACGTTTCATTAATCATGAATTTACGTAACTTTAGTCATAGGGACGGGTACTCCAGCTAGTATATATATATTCCTTACAAACAGCTGAATTATTGTAAATGAAACCAATCATTGTAGTAAGTTACCTACGATCTTGTGTGTTTTTAACTTCTGAGTTGTTATAAATAATGTACAAATATAAATCGGTATATATAGACTGCTTTCATTCATGATATCCTAGGAACGGCATGGCCAAGTGGTTAGGGAACTCGACTCGCAATCTGCGCGTCGCGGGTTCGAATCCCCATCCCACCAAACATTCTCGCTCTTTCAGCTGTGGTGGCGTTATAATGTGACGGTCAATCTCACTATTCATTGGTAAAAGAGTAGCCCAAGAGTTGGCGGTGGGTGGTGATGACTAGCTGCCTTCCCTCTAGTCTTACACTGCTAAATTAGGAATGGCTAGCGCTGATAGCCCTCGTGTAGCTTTGCGCGAAATTCAAAACAAACAAACTCTTAGAAAAACTATAAAGACAATAAAATAATGTATATTTTTTATAAACCGTAGTTATTATTTCATCGCACTGAATATAAGACATATAATTTAGGTTTAACTATGCATAGACTCGCTTCATTGATTTAATTCTGTAGATAGATATGATCATTTTTTGACCCAATTCACTATTTTTGAGTAAAGAACACGAATGTTTATTTAGTATAGCTTTAACCGTCTTGTTAAGTGGATAATACTAAATATTAGGATAATCTTGATCTGCTTAACTATTTCTAAATAAACAGAGATGATAAGTTAAACACAATACTAACGTTTATGGGGATCAGTACAGTTGATCTGAGTCACTTGAACCGCCCACTTACGCACCAGTTTGTAGTCTAATCCAGTTCTTATGGTCAAAACAGCCTTCTGGCTTTGTGAAACGTCGATATACACTATAGGAATCACAAAAAAAGGTGTATGAAAGATATAATTGTAAAATAACATACATTTGAAAATAACAGTCGAAATGGACGACTTATCTAGTAACCTCGTGATTGATGTTTGTTTGTATTTAAGCGCAAAGCTACAAAATGGGCTATGTGTGATTTGCCCACCATGAGCTTCGAAACCCGGTTTCTAGCAATGCAAGTCCGCAGACACCCGGCTGTGCCACTGGAGGAGGAGCATGATTGATGACATTTTGGTCCATTTCCAACGAAGATGGACGGAAGTAATTAGAAATATCATCTTCTCATAATAATGGGTAAATACATAATACCTTGTAAAGTAATTTACAATAAAATTTAAATCCACACAAACGGAACAATTCCAAATTTATATGGATACTAATTCAGTCATTTCAAGTGTCCTTTTCAGACCAACGCCGGCCCGGTATGGCTTGGTGGTTAGGGTGCTCTACTCGCAATATGTGGGTCGCGAGTTCGAATCCCCGTCACACCAAACATGCTCGCCCTTTCAGACGTGGGGGCGCTATAATGTGACAGTGAATCCCACTATTCGTTGGTAAAAGAGTAACTCAAGAGTTAGAGGTGGGTGGTGATGACTAGCTGCCTTCTCTCTAGTCTTACACTGTTAAATTAAGGACGGATAGCGCAGATATCCCTCGTGTAGCGTTAATCCGTAACAAACAGACCAACGTTTTCTTGTGTTTGTTGGACTGAAGAGGACATGTGAAATATCGAAACTAGTTTCCATAGAAATTTGTGTGGATCATCTTACTACTGATCACTTAACCAGGCATTGTGCTGATTTCAACAACAAAGCTTTGTGAAACACTGGCATTCTTTGAATCTTATTTTGGCATTCAGTTTATTTTATTATTTAACGTAAAAAAAAATTATAAACTGAAAGAACAGGTGTTCCAAATACTTATTTCTAAAGCTGGAAATTTATAAATAGTTTTCTGTTATTATCCTTTCACAGAAATGTACCTTTAAATGTGTCAAGTTCTTATCGATGGTACATAGCTTTAAACTTGCTAGATGTGATTATAAAAATCATTATTTATTTATAGTTACGCAAAAGACACCAGTGTCTGCAAATAATTTCATAGCATGCCATTGTTGTTTGATTTATCTACTGTAATAGCGTTTCTCAACCCAAGGGTTGTCTGAATGTGTGAAAGGGTCGCAATCGAATTTGAAAAATAGATAATATCTAGTAAAACCAGATGTTTTTTGCACTAAAACTATTTACTGGGTCACGATTGTCTATCATTGTTTACAATGTTCTCTCTAATTTTTTCAATTTATTTGAGGAATGAATTTTTTCATGTGCACCAGTATCAAGGCAATGTGCGGATGTGCGTCAGCTTTTTTTATTTTTTATAGGCAGGTGGTATTTTTAGACCATCGACCCTATTGGATCATTAGGCCGCTTTGCAATGCTACCAGTTGGTTCTAAATATGGAAATTATAATAAAGACAATTTATAAATCGCAAATTGTTTGCTGTTGTTATCCATTTGCAGAAATGTACCTTTAAATGTGCGCCAGCTATTTTTCAGGGGCGGGTGGTATTTTTAGACAGTCGACCCTATTGGATCATTAGGCCGCTTTGCAATGCTACCAATTGGTTATCTGGGCTCTGAGCCTTTCGACTACCAGGGTCATTAAGACCCTCAACGTGTTGAGACTTCTTACCATTACTGAGGATGTGCGCAGTCGGAATAATGAAGTGCGCGGCACTTAATTAGTTGTTGTGCGGCCGCACAGATTGGAGGTAACACTAATCCTGAACCAACAAAAAAGGTTGAGAAACACTGCACTAAAAATGTAGAGAACAAACACTAAAGTTTCCTTTAAAATTAATAAGTCAGCTTAGAAGAGATGCTGTGAAACACGTCAAATTTATTATACCGCTATAAGTTTTGTGCCGCAAACATATATCCTCGATTTTGTGAACAATATCGTAATTCTACAGTTTTATTATTTATTTAGTTGAAAAGTTAAATCATAAAATTATTTTTACTTTTGCAAATTTTACACGTTTACTCATATTTACCCCCAAAATGTGTTATTCAAAGTCTTCTTCAAACGAGCAGTATATTGTAACGATAATATAATAATGGTAGATTATACGATGAAAAAACAAAACAAAAAAGTCTTAAATTCAACAAATAACTGTAAGTGTAAACAAATTTAAACTTCATTTGTTAAAAATGATTACCTGTAAAAATGCTAAACATATATGAAGTTTACATTTCATAGAATCTTATGTTGAAATTTACTACAAAACTAATAAAACCTACTATGTTGCTCGGCATTATCCCCGCATAGAGTTGGTATAGACAAAACGTCACTACCAGCAGCGACAGTGAAAGAGTCCTTTACACAGCGTCCTCTTTGTGGTCCATCGATGTCAGGTTCAGCTAACACGAAATGGTGGATGTCCAGACGCAGCAAACAAACGGTTGATGGAAAGAGGACGTCAACAGTGCAAGTCCCTGGCCTTTTGAAGCCAGCAGGGAAATTGGGATTCCGAAACAAAGTGCCGTTTTGTTCAATTGTGTCACCACACGTTTTTGATGCTTAAGGTATTGAAAAATATAATTGTTTCAGAAAAACGTTGATGAAACATTTATAAAAAATTACCAAAGGATTACAATATGAAAAAAATATTCATAATAAAACACGCAAAAAGGCAGTTATGGTAATATTATAATTCTAAAGAAAACACACAAAGTCAAAAAGTAGCTAAATAATAACAATAACAATACTTTTTTTTCTTTAAAAAACAAAACAAAAACAACAGATTAAATGTCAAATTTACCCAAAGAATTCGAAATGAAATAACAATGTATTAATTCATGTGTGGATGGGAATACTCTTGGTTTCTTTTCATTTGATGGTTTAAGGAAGTTACAAAAAAAAACCAAAAAGTAGTGGTAAAATAAAATCATGGTAATAACTCACCTAAAATGTTGCCTGAAACAGTATCGCATTCTTTTTCAGTAAGACAACGACCGTTGGCGGTGGTGCAAAAGCATCCATCTACTTTATTCACTATAACACTCCCACCCTTAGATACCTGGATAATAACTTTTCCAACTTCTGGTACATACCCTGTGAATAATCAACAAAACAATTTGTCGTTCTGAGTGACTTAATTATATTTTGTACAACTGTGTTACTCTGTTACACATCAGTAATGTATGTGAATATAACACCATGCACCTTAAAGGAAGACCGTTGTCTTGAAATGTATTTCAAGTTTAAATATTACATATTACTTTGTTACACTCCAATAATGTTTATTAATATAATATCATGCATGCACCTTAAAGGAAGACCGTTGTCGTGAAATGTATATCAAGTTTAAAGATCGCATATTAATTTGTTACACACAATGATGTTTGTTAACATAACGTCGTGCACTTTAAAGGAAAACCGTTGTCAATAAATGTATATCAAGTATATCATATGATTATTATTTTTGTAAACTCCACCAAAAAGGCTCGTTGACAAGTCTGAAATGAAAAAAAAAAGTGATTTGACGTGTTTTGAGTTTCAAATCAGGCGACTTTTTTTTATATATAAAAGCATGTTGTTCTCTTTCCTAAAGGTAAGGAAGTATATTATACAGTCTCAGTACAGTTAAGGAGTGTTTTAAGCAAAATATTAAAATTTATCCATTCAAATTATGTGATAAATATTTAAAAAAAAAGCAAAAAGATTTAATACAGATTTAGGGAGAAATATAATCCTTATATAAATGTTTCAATATTTATTTAGACCTTATTCTTAATGTGAACCAATGATCGTGCAACCAATTGCAACAGTAAATTCAGTCACATCTGATTTATTATTTCTATTCGTGTTTGAAGTAGCAGAGAAATAATTAGAATGCGAATCTTATTATCGAAAATTCATTTTCTTACGTTTCTACAAAGGCGATTTAATTTATAAAATCATATGAGATTTATTTTACCAGCCATTTAAATTCTTAATGAGGTAAACATTTTATAATTCACTTACAATATTTGTTAAGAGAAATTTCAGATGATTCGACAGCGATCCGCAAGAAGATGAACAAAAGGTTCAGTGTCCACAACATCATTATCTGTAAGATGAAAATAAATAAATAACGCTGTGTGTAAAGATTAAGTCTTACATCAGTGAAATATTGAAGAAGACTTTACATAGTTCGTTACAGCGCTGCACTTTTTAGCTCTAACAAGTCTGTATGCGTTAAAGATATATGTAGCGTAATAAATGAGTGTATGAAAACAGTAGGCGTAGCAAAAACCATTGATAATTTTCAATAAATAATACACACGATAACATAATTTACTGATCAAAAATGTTCGAAAACATTTTGTCACTTTTAACTGTATAATTGCTGTATATACGTGTACGTGATATTTTTCTAACACCTTTATACTTATGGCATATTTATACAATACTGACACTTTGGAAACATTTAACGCGTTGTGTTGTATAATGTGCTCTAAGTGCTTTAGTAGCTTACTATTCTCGATCACTAAAAAACAAGAGCACACATAAAAATGTAATAAATGATATTAAAATTTATCACATTCTATAAAGACACCAAAATTTATTTTTTGAGTCTAGTTCTCTCGATGATCATTTATTTGTAACGCCACGTGTGTCAACAACTTCAACTGATTTCCCCTGAAAGCTACTAACACGATCTATGTTATTGCTTTATGCCAGTAAGTATTAATTTTATGATAATACTTTTAGTAATACTTTATACAGATTATTGAAACCGATTAATAGACTTGACAGTGACATTAACATACACTAATACCAATAAATTTATAACTTTTATCTAAAGATTAACCCTAACATTATCCTTGGCACATGGCTTATAATTAGCTATTAAATACTTTCTATATTGTTTCTTCCAATGTGTAGTCAATTTAATCTTGGATAGATAGTTCTAATTCCATGAAAGTATTTTCATAAGTTTAAGTACTCAATTACCATAAGTACTAGTAGTCAACATTTTTCTTCACTGAATACTTCTGCTGACGCTTTCGTGGAACACAAATTTTCAGTATTAACGACACCTTCCTTATACGCACATGGACTAAACAGACAGGCCAGTCTCTATGGGATTCAAGTATAATAGTAACTAATTTTGAACTATTGGCCAGAGGTAAGGTTCCATCCAGTATCACCCGTCGCCACAAAAGTTCATTTGAACCAAACTGACTGCTACCTTTGTAACTCTCCCTTAGTTGAAAAGCATCATCATGTCTTCAACCATAAGTATATCGATCCTAAGCCCGACACGTTAACCACTAGCCCAAGACCTGCCTAAATTATCGGCATCGTGTTTCGAACTACTAACACTTCGATCCTCAGCCCGAAACGTTAACCACCAAGCCAAGTACGGAACAAGAAAGAACAACCACTTTTTATTTAAAGCTCTTACATTCAGTTCTACAATCAGTCTATACCGAATGTTAATATTCTTATCGCTTCCCAGTGGCATAGTGGTAGGATTATGGACTTATAATGCTAAGAGTGGTTTGGTTTGTTATGAATTTCGCGCAAAGCTACAAGAGGGCTATCTGAGCTAGCCGTCCCTAATTTAGCAGTGAAAAAACTAGAGGGAAGGCAGCTAGTCATCACCAACGAATAGTGGGATTGGCTGTCACTTTATAATGCCCCCACGGCTGAAAGGGCGAGCATGTTTGGTAGGACGGGGATACGAACCCAAGACCCACAGATTGCAAGTCGATCGCTCTAACCATCTGTATAGTGCTAAAAACCGGGTTTCGATAGCCGTTGTGGGCTCAGCACAGATAACTCATTATGTAACTTTGTATTTAACTACAAACAAACAAAAATATTCTAATCTTTCGTTCAGCATGTACAATAAAATATTGAAAACAACTTGTAGTGTTATATCTTGGTAATAGTCAGATTGATTATTATGGTTGAATTGTGTATAGATGAAGTTAAGCCTATTTCTCTAGCAGTTGGTTAGAAGTGAAAATTTTGAATCAGTACAGATTAATATAGTCCACCCATAACACATGAATGTAAAAACCAAACTGTCAACTTTGTTTTACTTTATATAACTGCTGACACCAGATCTGTTTCATCTTTAGCCAAACTGCAGTTTTTTTTTATTACTGACTCTGTGTCTGCGAGTTTCACAGTTTTCAGATACTTGTATATTTGTTATTACTTTAATTACTTAATAACGTTGTTCTTATAAATAAATTAAATTAAGATAGATTCCACTTTGTCCCTCGCTAGGTCAGCGCTAATTTGTACTTGAAATGGTAGAATCTATGGTTAGATTCCCTCTGGTGGGCGTAGCGCAGATAGTATATTGTGTAGCTTTGCCGTAGAACAAACAAATTCACACTTAATCTCGGATTAAACTTATATAATGGCTATTTAATTCTTAATCTGATTTATTAATAGCTTTATTTGGGATGACTGCTGTCTCTTAAAATCTTCGAAAACTTTCAGTGGTTGAAAATAGCGTTAATGGCTACTATGGTCAACATATTTTTACACCAGATCAGACCCAAATCTTTTATTGTGTGAAAACAAAATCAACTCATCATAACTTACTCAAATAAATCATAATCTTATCTACTTATAATGGCGTTTTATGGAAGTTATGTTTAAGATAGAAGTTTTAGATACAGCATTATGTCGTCCATTAACGTTTTTTAACGTTTTTATTCAGTTTTTTTTGTTTGTTTGATTTTTTGCATTTTACAGACGTTATATTTAGAACATCAAATAAGAAACTTGAAGAGCATATTTTACAACTAGCTGGATTACCCGTTCCCTGGACGGAAGTTATGTAAATTCATGGCTAATGAAAGGTTATCTTAGGACGTGTAAAGTTATAATTGTAAAAAAACGCCCATAAAAACTGCAAAACACAAAATGTGAAACCGAAAATTTGCATGCACTTCCGCCCAATAAACCTTCATGTCAAATCTGAATATCCATCAACGGGGGGAGAAGTAGTAGTAAAAAACGCAAAACTGAAAACTTGTATGTATCTCCCCATGGACTTAATGAACCTCCATACCAATTTTGGTGAAGATCCATCCACACCTTGAGAAGTAGTTACATGGACATACAACAGACAGTACTATTAGGTTTATATAAATTAGGTTAGAAACATCACATCTTTCTTGTAATCGAACTAATGGAGTCAGAATAACATCGTACTTAATGGTTATGATGAACAGAGCACATGGTTTCAACATCTAGCAAGTTTCCAGAGCACAAGAAATTATTGGGGTCGTTTATACTTCACGTAATATATAAAAAAGTTGGTAACAGATATACGCTGGAATAGCGCGGGAAGATTGTTACATGGGATTTCTTCTTATACAGACATTTGACTAAAAGTGGACAAATTGTAGAGCCATTTTGCTATACACTGTACTCAAGCACATTATTTGCATATGATACTGCTTATACATATTATTACAGTACCGATCCGACTTTAATTACAATTTGAATGTTCTGAACAGCTACTATTCTATCGCATTTAGAAAAAGACCGTTAATCAAACTTTATG